CCAAAGATTTCAGCCGCCATTCCAAAGAATTTGGACAAACTGGTTGCTCAGTCAACTTCAATGTGCCAAGTCTTCCAGCAGATGAACCCCTTGCTCGTGTGGCACAACGTGGCCAAGACAAAAGAGTGGGAAGCCAAGACTGACAAGGCGTTTGCCTTGATTGATGCCTTGGAGGCAGCCGAACAAACTGAGGCTGTCAAGAAAGTGTGTCATAGCCTGAAGGTGCATGTCAACGATACTGGCCTGTGGTGCTCCCTGGTCCACACTCTGAAGCAGTCCAACCTTGTGGATTCAGCAGATGTCCACGACTTCATGAACTGGGTTGCCGAGGATCACAAGAAGATTTGCAAACTACTTGGTAAGCAATCCCCAGAGTGCTTGAAGGTGGTACTGACTGAGTTTGGCCGACTCTTCGCTGAGGCCCGCAGTGTTTTCTCACAAATCATTATTGAATCATTTGTTCATTCAGCCTTCAGTTTCTAGTCACTGTGTGCTAGAGTCTTGAGTGAGGGATGGACTCCCAATGAGTCTGTCAGTCTCTCTGTAATCAACTTCCAGCCGTGATCCGATGTGGCAGGCAAGCGTGGTCAACTATCCCTTTTCAGACGGCTACAGGTCGGCCATATTCCAGTTCTTGGCTTTGGAGCAGTTGGAGCAGTTCAAGCCTTTCAGCATCTTATTCCTTGGGCAAGTCTGCAAAGCTTGCGAAACGTGCGAGAACAAGGCTGCTGACCAAGCCTTCTTTTTGCAGCTGCAGCATTCAATCTTCAGTGGGTGGTTGGACAGACTGCGGACCACTTCTTTTGACACTACCCTGGCTTTGCTGAATTCTTTGCCTGAGGAGTTCCAGCATATTGATGTTTTGAGGACAGCACAGCATGTTTTGACAAAGCCTCGGACTGACTGTCCCGTCACTGGCAATACTTGACTTGTTTTGTTTTGTTTGAGCTGATGGCTCAAATCACTCAGAAGTGCATTTGAGTTGCCATTGACATTGACTCGGGCTGAATTGTCTAATATGTTCTAGGTCAAGATTTGAGTTTGGTTTTGCATTAGTTTAACTTAGTTTTTCTTTCTGACTCCACTGATGCAATTCCTTCTTGAGCCAGGACTTCAGTCCCCACGGACACACACGTGCTGACAGTTGATGGATTGCCCTTTCAGAACGACTCCGGCTTATCTTTGCGCGTCCTCATTGATGTTCAGAAGTTGGTGACTTGTGCATTGCTTGCCGGCCATGAGTCCCGCTCTCCCGAGCACTACCATCCAAAGGCCAAGATGGCCATCAAAACCGCAGTGTCCCACCACAGCACCTTTTCTGCCAAGGCAACACTGATCTTCAAAAGCAATGGACATTTGAGGAGGGGTTCAGTTTGGCAAGGGAATGCGTGTAAGAGACGTGCCGTCTAAAGAACGTGCCGCTTTTTGCGTGTTAGTTGGAAGCTGGAACTCAGAACTTGGAAATTCATTCTTTTGATTGGTGCCGGTGCCTGACTATTTTCTTCTTCTTCATGTCATGTTACATGTTCATCAAAAGCCATGTCGACCATTGGTTTTCAGCTCTTGTGGACTCAGCCTTGCAGGAGCCTGTGGGAGGCTGCAGTGACCCTCTCAAAGACTGTGCTGACTCAGCAAAAGGCTGAGGAGGCTGCAGCTTCAGTCTTGGAAAGCACCAGGAAGCTCATTGACATTCTCAAGTCAGAAGGCCCCAAGCCGGACCAGGACTTCCACGTTTTGGTCAATGCTGCCAAGGACCTTGTCGACATCCAAGCTGCCTTGACTCAGTCTGAGGACAAGAAAGCGCTTGAGGCTGTAAATCTCGAGGTGAGTGAGATCATGAAGGACTTTGGAGTTGCCGCCATGAAGGAGTTTGGGAGTTGGCTGGATCGCCAGTGGCTGCCTCCTTCAGATGACGCCGCGGAGCAGACCTTGGAGGTTTGTGAGAAGGAGGTCTTGGACTCTTTGACTCCATCTTTACAGATTCGAGGCCTGAACAGGGCTTTGTTGTTCTATCTATTTTATGACTCAGACTGTCTCAAACTCATGACTCATGACTTTTTCTTTTACTTTTACCTGACCTGTGACCTTTACCTTTAGCCTTTACCTCATGTTTTTCCACTGCTGTAGGGTTGCAAGATGTCATGTCACATGTCCTGTCCTTGTATGACTTGGTATGACTCGTGCATGAAAACGGCATTACTTTGTGACTCAACTCAGATGAGGCCACATTTGCTCCAGCATTCTGAAGGATGACCCAGAGATGCACTTGCGCTTGCTTTGGTCCCTGGATAAACTCCACAAGTTCATCAACGACGGGGCCTCATTGGTCAATGCTTGGAGGTTGAGCAAGGGCTTGCTGGATGACCTTTCCGTTGCCCGAATGTCTGTTTTCCACTCTTCCTGCTGGGCAGGTCTCTGTAGCAAGGCCAGTCTGAGATTGAAGGAGGCTGTGTGTCAGCAGGGGCCTGTTGCAGTGCTCAAGATGTTGGAAGGCAAGACTGGCCAAAGCATTGAAGAGGCTAAGTCGATGTTGTCAGGCATGGAGGGCTTGACCGGCCGCCTTCTTCAGATGCATGCTTCGCTGCAGGACATGGACCAGCTGCACACGTACACTGAGAACAAGCCTTCAGATCTTGCCCAAGTCTGCAAGCAGATGCCAGGCATTGTGAAGATTGTCAACTACAACCTGGATGTGATTCATCTGGTCAAGCCTGACCAGAAGGCTGCTGTGATGGAATACCTGGGCGATGTGAACACGGTTCTGCGGACCAACATCCAGACTATGACTCAAGACGCACTGCGCTGGAAGAAGCTGGTGGAACGGTACCAGCCACTATTCTCAATTGGTTAGGAGTCAGGAGTTAGGAGTTCACTGAGTTGGTCGTTTGGTGTTATGTTCTCTCTCCACCTTTACTCTATTCAAAGAGGCTGCCATATGATATGTCATCTTCATCAGTCACCAGTCATCCGGGATCCGTGATCAATCATCATATCATCAGTCAAAAAGTCAAGTTGGCTGTTTTGGATTGAGATTTAGATTCTGTAACATCAATGACTGAAGTCAGACTTGAGGCCAGTCATCAGTGCAGCAGAGATGTGGCATCCAGAGAAAGTTGCTGAAGTCTCTTGGATGTTTTCGAACAACCCAGACGTGGACCAGGAGACCAAGTCCATTGTCCAGCTCAGAGAGCAGCTGTCAGATCCCCTAGCATCAATGAAAGGCATCGTTGCCTGCAAGGCCAGCTTGAAGGCGGATGAGAAGTTGGAGAAAGTGGTGGGTGAGCTGCAGTCCTTGATGCAAAGCATTGAGGCACAAACTGGCAAAACACCTGTCACACCAGAGTCCTTGTTACTGTGTTTCTTCAATTGATTGCCGTGTTGGCTTTTGACTCTTGATTCTGGATTCTGATTATTCTTCTGTCTGCTCTTCAGGATTTGAATGGCACCAGTGCAGCAGTTGTGGGCATCATGATGGCCATGGAGATTGTTGTCAATGCTGACAAGTACGAGGACAAGCTCACGACATCACGCCGGGTTGGGGCTTACCTCAGCAAGAAGCTTGGAATGTCAAAGAATGACCTTCCGCCACTGCTCAAGTCCAAGTTTGAGCAGTTGACTGCTTCGCAGACTCCTTGTTTGAGTTGGCAAGTTTTTTATTGCTGCTTCCAAGGCAACCCCCAATCACTCAGAGATTTGAGATTCAACTCAGAATTCAGTATATAATATACATAGTCTTACATAGTACTAGTACAGTACTACTTACTACTTACTCTTACTAACCTACACCAAACAAATGGAATTGACAGGAGCCGGATGGTTTCTTGATTTTGGAGCGTGCTGCAAGGACCAAGCCTGGTTCAAAGCCTGCTGCGGAGCCTGAGGGGAAGCCAGACAATGCTTCCAAGAGCACCCGGAAGCGTGGGAAGCAGCCTGATGAATCTGCTGAGCCACCAGTTGACCCTGCTCAGAAGAAGCGACAGAGGCCACCCTCATCGTCCAAGGCCAGTGAGAAGACCACTGAAGCAAAAGCAAAATCAGGAAAGAAGATCAAGAAATGAAGCTTGTGCCAATGCGGCCAAGCTATGCTGCTACATTTGAGCAGCTTGAGTTTTGCGGATTTTGTAGTTAAAGCAGGTTAGACAGTTAGACTAGATGCCAAAAAGGCTGTTCATGTTTCGTGTCCCCTTGACGATCTTTGACAGATCCAGAGCGGGAAATTTGGGACAGTTGGTCTACCAACTTGGACTTGCGGAGGGGCTGCAAAATAGGAAGTCTGGGCCTGTGCTGTAGCTCTGGAACCTTTTGTCCTGTTTGTCGACACTGGCGAATGTCTTTCATGCCATTTTCACTGATAACCACTGTCATCACTACTGTTACTACTGAGGACCACTTCAAGCTAGCTTAGCTTAGCTCGTGGTTCTGGGAATAGTGTCCTTATTTCTTGCAAATGGTTTCTATCTATTTTGCAAGTGGTTTCTTTACTATTTTGAGACTACAGCCTGACCACAGCTACCTGTGCAATATATTTGCAAGTAGTTTCAGCCCCTTCCCCTCTCCCCACAGACAAAGAGGCCAACCCAGGCAACAATATGTAAATATGACATACATGGAGTGTTTGGGTAATGTAATGTAGACTCTTGATAATAATACCCCCTGATGAAGAGGTTTTTCAATTCAATTGGGGCAGGTTATTAATCAAGAGTCTACATTAGACTTGCTCCACAGGGTTCTCCAACCCTAGGGTCATTGAGCATTGGCTAGCTCCCCCTGCCTGCGTTTGTACGAGACTCGGCTTCAAGCCTTTATTTGGCGGAGGCCTACAACCCGGAGCCCTAAACTCTAATAGCAAACAGGTTGACCATGGTTGACCGACCACATCCCGGAGACATCCCCCTGCTTTTGACCAACGTCCAACTCTTTCTCGCTCCAACGTTTTCTCGCGATCGGATCGCAAGCCGGACATCCGGGCGCTTTCCGGGGACCCTTCACGGACCAAACAGGAGATCTCCGAGTTGGGTGAGGCGAGCCCCAAGTCCACCGCAGTCCGAGACCCCAAGTGGCGGCTTTTCGCTGCCTGTCGGCGGGTTCGTGGCACCGTTGGTGTGTCTTTTTGGGGGTTCGGAAACATGGTCGGGTGTTGGAGGGGGTTGGCGTGTTTGATCGTTTGGCGTGCATGTGCCTTTTGTTTGTTCTCTAGAGTTTTGGGTGCATTCTTGGTGGGCCTAGGTTGCAAAACATCATCGCGAGATGGTAAGAAGAGCTCTCCAGCACATGGAACAGCATGAAACGGTAGAGTATAATAGGCCTGTTGGTTGATTTTTGTACATGCTACCTTGACACTTGATGAACGTATAATATGGGTCTGTAGCAGCACCCTTAAAGGTCAACAGCTGAAAGACTTGAGGCAAAGGCCAGGAACACTTTCATTAATCGCCCTTTGCAGGAACATCTCACTTAGCATACTGATATTGTTTCAATGAGCCCGTTGACGGACGGTATTGAAAGGAATCATCAGCTTTTGTGTGTTTGTGTCTCGTGGAGCATCTCCATCAAGAGTCTCGCAACCCTCTCGTTATAAAGTACTATCAAGCCAGCCGGGCGCTAAGAGAGCACAGACCTCGCCACTTAATCGACCCGTGCAGCGTCCGTCGCCCGTCTAAGTCCAAAAAGTCCTCGAAAAAGAAGGCGGCCGAGGAGCCGGGAGCGGTGGGAGCGGTGTCGGCGCCACGGTGTTTGCGAAGTGAGTAAGGAGATAGAACAACCAATTGTCAATATAACATCAATGTAACATCCAAACATATTCAAACATCATTGTCAAAGATAATTACTTTTCTAGGGTATTGCAGTCTTCAAGTGCTTGGTCCTATGTTAGAAAGGTTTCCATCCCATCGTGACCCTCGTCGACTGGCCGACACATCAGACATCAAAGCTCACACAATAAGGGTCCAACCATCCCCCCTTTCCGCCTTTCGCGGAACTGCGCAGAGCGGAACCTCCCAGGGCCCAGAGCTCCATGTCAGCCACACCACGTCACGACTCGGGTGTGGCGCCGACCAGGAGGCCAAACGAAAAGCGGAAGCGCGGAAGGCGGAGCTCAAGCGACAGCAGGCGACGGGTCCGGAGGGTGTTGGGCAATCGGACGAGGGAAGGGAGCGATGCTGCCTGCGATGCTTGGGGGGGACGTGGGTAGGTTTGGGGATGCTTTGGGGGGGGACGTAGATGAAGGTCAACATTTAGGTTCAGGTCCAGTGGAGATGACTCTACCCCGAGTCTACTGTACCTGGATGATTCTTCACCAGGCACAAGTCCAGACAGGTCTCCACCAGAAGGGCCTTGGTCGGACTGGCCGCGACTTGATAGGACGGTTGGGGCCCTTTCATGTTCCAAATCCCTCAAGCCGTTGATCCTTGCTCAAACTGTTGAAACGTGGCAAACACCAAAAAGGCGGATTGGCTTTTTCCATGTTTCTCCACGTTAACGTGCTTAGCCGGTGAACAGTTTGGGAACAGCGCCGGTTAGCCGGTGATCTTCCAGGGAAGCCACAGGCATCGATGATGTGAAACGCGACTCTAGGGACTCTACCCCCTGCAGGCGCTCTTGGCTGGCGCGCAGTCTTCCCAAGTGTTGGTTTACAGGGACTGGCCAAAAAGAAACGAGTCTTGGGGATTTGAACGGATTTGAACCGCGAGTTCGGGGGGCATATGCCAAGAGAGGCACAAATGGTGTGGTGTTTTGCTCTTTGCACCAGGAAGAGGCACAAGAGCAGCTGAAAGAAACCTTAGCACTCAAGGACTGCGAAGCTCTCCTCGTTCAGCGGTCAGGAGAATGCTTGGCGAGGCAACTTTTAGCCTGCATTTTGATGTTCCCGGTGTTCCCCCGTATTGGTTTATTTGCCCTGTAGTGCCTGAGTAGCCATTGACTCGTTTGCCAAGTCCTGTTTAAAGGGTTTGTTTGTCAAATGGTTGTTATGTGTGTGTTGATGTTCTGAAAATGTCTTCATGTCTTGTGGACACCGTGGACAGGCTCGCCCCGGGTGGGATGGCATCCACAGGCTGCGATCCGCTCGCTCGGACTGGTCAGAACTCAACGCAGCTCCTCAGTGATGTACAGTGGAGGTGACCTGAGCACCAAGCTTATGATGGGGTATCGGGTGTGGGACCGACTGTGCTGGGGGCTGATGAATGCATATGATGGGGTATCTTTCGAAGCTACCGGAATTCTCCCAACCCCTGCTGGCCCCTGCTATGTTCATAATTATATATTGTTGTCCTTCTTTGTGGCCAACCAGGATTTGGGAGGAGTCCCCCTCAGCTCACGCGGAAGACGTGGCCGCACCAGGAGCAGATTTTGGCCAAGGCCATGGGGGCGGCGAACGCCTGCAATGGCTTTGTCGGCGCAGGCTGCGCTGGTTGGAACCTACCGGCGCGAGCGAGCATGGGGTAGGAGAAAATGGCACCGCCACTCCCGTTGTATTCCGTTCATCAACACACATGGTTTTTGTTCTGTCCCAAAGACCCACAAGATCCCATGTTTGAACACCCAAGCGCAGACTATCCATATGGCATATGGAAGAGTTCCATAATGACATAACTTCTTTTCCGTACCATGGAGCCTTTGGGAGAGAGAAGGCTGCAAAGCCTTCAGCTGAACGCTCTGACACAGCACGCACGCCGATTCGGCGGGTCGTTTGGGATGAGCAGGATTCCGACATAGCGCCGTGGTCACCAAAGATGGAGGCCGGTCGGCCGTGGGGAAGAGAAGGCCTAGGAGTGATCCTTGCCCCATCGGAGGGAGGGACACCATGGGACGAGCGCTCAGAATCTGCGGGTGCCACTGGTGGCCCAAAACATGCGGAATCCGCTGGAAAAGAGTGGTGCAAAACTCTCAGACAGAATCCAGAACGGGAGGAATTGGCAGCAACATTCTGCTCCAGGCTTGACTTTCTGTTTCAATGATCATGTGCCCCAGGGGGCTTTGGGTCATGGGGTGCTCGATGCCCTTTCTGCGGCGGAGCTGTGATATGAGCTGTGGCCTTTCGACTCATTGAACGATCGACTCATAGAGTCAGAGATAGAACTGATTTGGATGTTGCGATATCCAATTGAGGTCCTTAAGATCCTTTCAACTCCCAGGCCTATGTCCTTTCTATTCCTTTCGTGTTCTTCTCCGATTTTGCAAGGAGGACACTTATAGGCACCCACACGTCGTCCGCGAATGCGAGGCTTGGTTTGCTTTGGCACCTCTGGGCGTGGCCAGTGTGACGTGCCACATGCCAGTGTCACTGGCTACAGGGCTTATCACTCCGTGGCCTGCGGCCGCTGGTCGGCAGACGAGTGTTTTGGTCCCCAAGGTCCTAAGTTTGGGTGCAGAATCTGTTGAGTTCGAGGATATGATTTATATTGTCATTATAGCATGATATACCATCCATGAGCACAGGGGTTTGTCGCTTCTTTTCGGCCCTGCATGTATACTGGACCTGTTGCATATAGATAGATCTCGGTGTCTTCAATCGTGCAGCAGAAGACTTCGTTCTGGAATGCAGCACGAGACAGTTTGAATGAAGGAGACCGCTGCATTGGCGCAGCTGCATGTTGAACCGGGGGGTGTGAATGTGTTCAACAGCTGTTTCTCTCAAAAGCCTGACCAGTCAATTCCAGACTTTCCAAATACACCTCACATCACCAGTACTTATATGATTCGACCAGAGCTCCTCCGTGAGGCTCTATATCTCCAAGTTTGTTTTGTGACTTCCCGAAGAGGTACTGTAGATTTTGTTGAGGGGGTGTTGATCCTTCATCCATAGGCCCACCTACCCTACACCTCGACTCAGGCCATCTACACACGTGTGCATCCACCGTGACGGGGCAAGTGGTGTGCTTCGGAGACGAGAGTTCCTTGGCCCAATTTGGCCGCCCAAATGGGGTCTATTTCATCCGATGTGATCCACTGTCAAGGGGTTGCTGCAGTGGCTGGCACTCAGACCCAAACCTATGGAGAGCTTTCAAGACCCGTTGTGAAGGACACAAGGAGGAGGGAAGGGGCCGGTGGCTGTTTGATCTTCTTGGATCCTGTCCCCACTCCAGTCTCAACCAGCAAAACCTGGTCCTGTACCCCATTGACTCGTTTTTTTTGAATCCAGTATCATGAGGCCAAACTGACCTGGTATTTCGGGGGGGATGCAGCCCCATTCCATCCGAGCCCGCATGGCACCAGGTTTCGGTCAATGTGCGGTTCCGCCGCATGTGCGGGGCATTTCAGCGATGGCTTGTGGCTTTGGCCACACCTGTGTGTTGGATGCTCAAGGCGCGTGGTTTATTCGCGCGCGAAACTGTGCTGTGCGGATAGGCTACAGGTCATGCACTACCCAGGGATTCGCAAGATGAGTATGGCAAAGAAAGTGGTCAGAGATGGACGTCATGCATATATAGAGAATGGACATTTTTCGGGACTGATTGGTTAGTATATTAGTTTAGCCCTATTTTAGCCTTTGTGTTTTTCAGAGCAGCGTGTTCTTTGGAGTCTGCCGTTAGAAAAGCACAAGCAGCGGCACAAAGCAGGCACGAGGGCCCAACACGGCCGTGCCCACCGATCACCCATACCCGGCACCCCACCGGGCCGGCGTCCTCTTCGCCCCATGTTCTGCCTAGTCAGAGTCAGAAGGCAGACATGACTTGTCTAGTTGGAAGATCCCATATATGCTATTCCCATATTGGGAAAAACTCACATGTGCATTGATTTGGGATCGAAATGGACGAACTCTATTTGCAAATCATGGTGTTTGCCTATCTTTGTGGCGTCTGCCCGTTTCCTGGCCGACCTTCGACCGGAATCGCGTTGGAAAAAACGCGTTGTGCCGGTATGGTTCGACGTGTCCGTTGGCAACAGAAACACCTGGGTGAGAAGACTCAGTCTTGGGGCTCTTGTAATTTAAATGGCTTGGTTGAAGCAAACTCATCCACCAGAGCTCCCAGCAGAGGTTGAAGAACCCTATAGACTATCCCATAGGTACCCCAGGTGACGGGTCCTATTTACGGTCACTGGCTACCTCCCTTGGAGTGGCCAGGTGGCCGACCACCACGCCGTCGTTCTGGATCGTGCGTCGTTCCGGGTCCAGGCCAGCTCCATTGCTTTGGAGACAACCTCTACGGTCAATGTCGCCAGGATCACTTATTTGGGGAGGAATGGGTCTCCTGATGCTGTGAGGTGGAAATTCCCTAGTCAGTGAGTGGTCCTCCAGCCAAGAGAGGTGAAGTGACGCGTAAATAGGACCCGTCACCTGGGGTACGGGATGGTCTAGTTCGGGTCCTTCAACCTTTGTTGGAGGGCCTTTGCTTCGAAAGTACGTCTCCTTCCTTCCGTCAAAGCCACTCCTGTGACCCGGATCAAAGACCCGCGCACGTCTCGCGACGTGATCCGTGGAAAACGGGCCACGCGACATCCGGTCAACCGAGGCGGACTGTGGATCCAGACGCGACCCGTTTGGGGACTGCCATGTCGGACTGCCGCCCCAGACACACCACTCTGGCAGCACCACCCCTGGCCTGATCGGTCAATATGACAGTCCCATTAGTCGTGTCTGGGCATTTCAGTGTCCAAACAATGGATTTTGTAACATCAAGTGCTTGGTATGCCCAATTAACCAAAGTTGGTGTTTCCCAATTTGCAGTGTAGTATCTCTTTTTTGGGGTTGACCAACCAGATGTCCAGTCCGCTAAGGCCAAATGCCCATCGAGTTGGCCTCTACCACAGTGGTCGCACTCGCCGCTGGCTTCCGACACAGCTGTGCCGTGACTGCGCAGGGAGCGCTGCTGTGCTGGGGGGACAACAGCCCCTTGGAGATGGAGGGCCGCGGCTTGGGAAGTGTTGCTCGTCAAGTGCAGCTTAGCGACCACGCATTGGACAAGCATGGTAGGGGATTGTAGGGGAACAGTTGCAGACCCAGGCCAAGGCAAGGGTCCTTCTTCAGGCTTCGCCTTCAGAATAGCAGCTGACATGAATTCCATGTGAATAACGGTCCGTCCAAGCCGAAGGTATGCCGAAGGCAGTTTGACCCTCCAAAACCACCAGTTCACATTCTTTGTGCCTTCTCAGAAGTGCGTCTCCGGAAGTGTCCATATGAGTTTATGACATGAATTGACAATACTTGACATATAGTATGATTTCCTACCCAGTCAGTGGATATGAACCTTTTGGTTGGATAGAACGGGCTCATCCCAACTCATTCCCGACTGGGAGAGTGCTCGGTGTGCTCTCCACCGAGGGCACCAGCTTCTCAGGATCCGATCGTATCTTCGAAGTTATACGACTGGACCCGAGTTTTTGGGCCACACATCACCGTACCCTGAGGTTCGGTACGACTGGATCCCCAAAAAGGGATGGAAGAGGATGGCACCACCTGTTAGAGGGACGTCATCCAAGTCTTCGGGCCCACGGCCATGCCATCCGTGTTCAACACGTGTCACTGATCTCGCGAGTCGGTCGAGAGTCGAGTCGGTGATGAAGCAAGTGATCCTGGGAGTGACTCCGGGATGAGAGGCTCGGCTATACATATTGAGATATAATATAGATCTATAAATAATATATATATAGATTTATATAGATCTTGTAGAGTTTCACAACAAGCCTTCATCGATGCTATGAGGGAGATTAATTGTCCCTGTCCCTGTTTCTTGCGGTTGTTGGTCATTGGTCTTCTGTTGCCTTGCAAAACAACAAAGATCCCCTTCCACAGCATGTGTTTGGCGATGAAACTAAGCCTCTAAGCAAAAACTAGACGACGGATGGTCCGGGAGCGTAGAAGGACAGGTTATGTAGAAGAGGGTGTGCGTAGTAAGAGACGTGTATAAATACATTTAGAGATCATCTCTAGAGAGTTTGATAGCATGTTTCTACGCTACAAGATGCTGCAAGTAGTGGGGATGGAGCTCGCTACAGCTCTGAGTGGTTGCGAGGGATCTATCGATGAGACTCATGGAGTTGCACCGGCTGGGACTCATGGACACCCGCCATGCTGCATGGTCCCAGCCGGTGAAGCGCCCGCGCGGCTCTTCGGAACCCCTCCGAGAGTCCAGGCTCGGCAGCACCGGGACGTCGGGACCCGTGGGGACAGGCAGAGGCCAATGTTCTGTGCCGCGCTCCTTGGACAAAGTGAGGCCGGGGCCGTTGTTATGGGGGCCGGTCACATGGCGCAGGGTTGGGAGTTGCGTCCAGAGCCGTCAAACAGGAGGACGGCGAAGACGGGGTGGGGCCAGGCCCCCTGAGATACCGTCATTTCAGCCAGTGCCCGGGGCCACAAAACAATAGATCGGCTAATTCTGTATGAGATGGAGTTGATCATGGTGGGTGATTTCGGTCATCGGACGGCCCATCAGGAGGCATAGGTATCAAAAAATAAAAAGAGCATTAAAAAAAAAACAAAAACGCATCAAAAAAAACATATTCCTTGATAGGCCTCTTCTGCTGCTCTCCTGGCCTTGTGGTCTGCGGGTCCTCTGGTAATGTGGTCCCTTGGTCCACTGGTCCTTTGGTCCCCTGGTCCCTTGGTCCTTTAGTCCACTGGTCCCCTAGTCCTGGTCCGCTGGTCTTTTGCCCTCCCTGGGAAGAAAGTAGGTACTCAACGATAAGGTAGCCGTCCAGTCATTGAGTAGCCCTACTCGAAAAATGGTTCACCAGTGGAAATAGCTCCCTACTAGGAGGGAGCTCCTGGGGAGGTACACTCTCCTAGTCCCCTACTTCTTCCATCCTCTTCCCTTCGTCTCCTAGTGGTCCACTCAGAGACAACTGTCTTACAGAAATTGTAGTCTAGCATCGTGAGGTAATTGTTTGGATCCTGTTCTTTTCTGTTGACTTCGTCTGCTAATGTGATGTTGGCGCAGACACGCCAATCATAGCATGTCCATGGTTTTGAGGGCATTGTTTGTTTTGATCATTTGTTTATCCCCTGCTGCTGCTACTGCTACTGCTACGCTGGTGCTGTTGCTGCTACTGCTACTGCTACTACTACTACCCCAACCATCCTCAGTGGGCTAGAATATTACTTTTTTGATTACCTTTTTATTTTTTATTGATCCCCGTTGATCTTTTTTTTTGATTCTATATTTTGTTTTTATTTTGATCCCTTACCCCCATCAGGACCAGGTCTCCATGACTTCTTAGTAGATTCAGGATGATCAGGTCATGCCAGCTGACCTCGTTTTTTTTTTTTTTCGACTCCCGTGGCGGTGTTTTCTGCAACTCCATCCCTTGAGCCGCAGCCGGATCCGTCCCGTCACCCGGGAAGGGAAGCAAGAAGGACCAACGGATGACCCTGAGAACCTGGCAGTTCCCGACCCTCCAGCTTGGGCCTGCAGTCATGGACATGTACCGATGCACCTTCACCCATGTGTGTGCCCATGTCACTTGGAATACCCTTGAATGGGGTCACACCCCGTATTGTGCCAGGTACTGCAGATTCGCGAACCATCCCTGGACCATTCGAATGAACTGGAAGTCTCTGGAGACACGGAATGTATGCCCATGTTCCACCTATGCATCAGCTGTCATTCGACGGTCGGTCTGGCTTTCTTTGGGCTTTTGGCCTCATGGACGTCCGACAACGACCGACCCCCGCGGGCTGCGTGTGGCGAGGCGTGTGGCGGCCGGTGACTTCCACACCTGTGCGATCACGGCTGATGGGAAACTCCATTGCTTCGGCTCCAACGACCACGGCGCTTCGGACCACGGTCATAGTCATAGTGAAAAAAGAAACAGGAGGAGAAACGCGGGGTGGGATGGGTGGAGGAGGGAAGCACAGGGACAAGATGGGAGAACGTATCTGGAGGACTGAACATCAGAGGGGTGAAGTCAAAAGCAACCTTGAAAAACATATGTTGCTTGGCTTTTTGGTGGGGATGCTAGTTGACACGCTTGAACTTGAACATGTCAATGCCACAACCCCCCAAAGACGGCTCGCACTTCTGGGAGCTCAGGGACCGGAGATGGCGCATTTCCGGACCGTTTTTCATGTGTTTGTCAACCCCGCTGGCAATGTTCACTGTAAATAGAGGACATGTGGTTCAACCGATGTCCATTCCGTTTCCTTTGCTTCCGAGGCCAGTGCAGCGTGCCGAGTGATGTGGAGCATGTCATCGTGCCTTTGCCCTGCAGTCGGACGGCTCGCCGGGTCAACTTCCGGAAGAACTAACTTCCATTGGTGAGCTGGCAACCTCCACTGGTGAGCTGGCAGCCAGTGGTGACTACCAGTTATATTCTTTAAGTGATGTAAACATGATAAGAAGAACGCACCATCATATCGAACCACCCGGATTTGACCTAGTCTGGTGGTATATACCTCTTCGTGGCTGTTCCATTCCGCGGGTGGCGAATGGAACAGCGTGGTGTGATGTTTCGTGGTGAGGCACGGTGGGAACAGACCTACAAGGAGGTGCCCTGAATGGAAGCACAGGTCGTAGTGTAGGCAGGCTCCGCACCAGTCACTTGGTGGCTTGACACTTGGCCTTCTGAAAGCACCCGATGCTGACTGGATACTGTATTCTTTAGAATAACCACCAAGCGGTTTGGGATGTGAATGCGTAGCATCACAAACACCCCAGCTCATCGGTGGCCTCGCTTTGGCGATGTGAAGACATCATGCCGTGGCTTCTGGAGGTTTCCATTGAAGGAGTCAGCTCCATATGAGACCAGGGGACCCGGGACCTTTTTTGGGTTCCGTACTTAATTTACCCAACTTCTACTCTTCTACATCCATGGTTTGTGCAGCCAACCTGGCCAACCCAGACCCTGGCCAACCCAGGCTGGCAGTAGCTTCACCTCACAGAGTTCCAAAAGACCTCCCCCCCAACTGATTACAAAGCATGTTTGGCTTCGCCTCCAGTTCCACTGACTGGCCTCCTGCCCCTGCCGAGGCGGTGGCTGCCGGGTCCAACTTCACCGTGGCCTTCCTGTACAACGGCACTGCCTGGTCTGGTGGTTCTTGGGGTCATGGCCAGACGGAGCTCCCAGAGGAGATCCGCCCAGAGGCCGGGACGTTCGGCCTTGTGAGAAGTGAAGCGAAGTAGAACCTGACCATAGGGATCCAGTCGTACCGAACCTCAGAAGGTACTTGGACCCTCCTGGCACCTACATAACAGTGCCTCCAATCACCGTACCTGAGAAGGTACTTGGATCCCTAGGGTGAGTGAGACTGGTCTATCTCATAGAATTCTTACGCCTTGGCCTTGTCAGATGGGTTCTCGCTCCAAGGTCCATAGACCTCCAGGGTCATACGCAGCGAAGCGTCTACCAGCGCTTCCTCGGGCGCGCGCGGAAGCGCGTGGCCAGGCACCGCTGCCCGAGGAACCGGTGGAGTCGGAGTTCGGCGAAGAGGAGGAGGAAGTGGAGCAGGAAGAGCGCGAAGAAGAGGCTGGAGAGAAGAGGAGGTCGATGGGCGAAGGGATCTCCGTGTCCCATTCGCTGTGTGTAACAGAGAAACCCTCAGCTTGGCCACCTCTTTAGCTAGCAAAAGGAAAAAGATTCACTAAAACCTGGTTGGGAGGGCTTTCGCAATTATATAGCTAGAAAATGGCTTTGCTTTGCGGCTGAAGCTATCACAGTTAGTGGTCACGGCGGTTGCTCATCATCCGCTGGCAAGACTTGCAGGACCGGGCTCAAAGTCGCCAATCGCACCAGGGCCAGGACCATACCAGGACCATCCAGTCTGGGTGTCCTGGCTGGACTACCCTACACTACTTAGAGGTGTCCATTGGGCACCCAGATTGGATGGTCCAGGTAGGGTCAGGGTGTTGTTTGTTGGATTACTCGCTACGGTACGAGACCTGCTGAACATGAATGTTTCCAGTCTAAAGGATCTTGGTTCCATGCTGGGTCGCTGGCATACGTTCCATACTGAGCCGCAGCAAAAAACGGCTCTTTTGTAGACCTGTAGACCCAGTGTTCGAGCTGTTTTTGGGATGTTTGACCAGGGCAGTGGCTCTCACCATGAGCAAAGGTGTGCAAAAGAAGGAATCCTGGGCTGGTCGTTCCTGAAACACTGGTTGGGCCCCATTTCGCCGGGAAAGTCGCCTGGAAAGTCGTGTCACAGCCGTTGCACCGCACCTGGCGCAGCTATGATCCTCCCACCAAACACTTTTTTGTGGAACACCGGCCTGGAAGCCAAAGTACTTCTAGTGGATTGAGAGGACCAATGGCACAGACCCCAAGAGGTGGCCCCATCCTAGGGCCTAGGGGACATCATAGAGTCTGTGCCATTTGCTGTGAAACTAGTAGCGGTGCCCTTTGTTACTAGTAGCTATTTGCTCCCAGTAGTACTGCCAGGAGCCACTAGCTACTAGTAGCGATGCCCGGACTGTTAAAGACTGTACGTTGTGTAGTCCGGACACTCAACAGATCGTCTCATGTGATGCGCGTGCCTCAGGTGGATGTCTCCTGTGAGGTTCACCCGACTGAAGAAATGCCGCCGGTGTGCCTTGACGCCAAGGATATTTTGTTCCACAGCAGGCTTGGTGGTGGTGACCTGGGAGGTCACGAATTTGACTATATAGATGTGCAACACACATCATGTGGCCATTCCCAGGCCATAATGTAGACTCTTGATTCATACACCCACCCTCAGTGGTATTTAAAAGGCCTCTTCACATGGAGGCTTTTAAATCAAGAGTCTACATTGATGTTCAATGAGGTCCACGGATGTACAATGATTGTGCAATTACTAAGGCAATGACGACTGCAGCAGCTGCAGCTGCTGCATGAATGCATGACCATTTCAGCAAAGGGCCTTCAGTGGTGAATGTATAAGTCTACCTTTAATTCTTTAGTAAGTAGTAGTGGAACTGGCGAACACGAGCATAATACTGTACAAGAGCAGGTTTTCAAGGATGATTCTCTGAGACTGATGGGAATTGTATTCGGTGGATGTCACTGGCCCCCTGGCACCCGTGCAATCTGTGCAATCTGTGTGTGGTGGTCGTGAGGGTGGTCTATTTGTCCTACCACCATTTGATTCATGCATGTGGGTTCCATAAGGGTGACCGGTGTGACCGAACACCATTGTTTTACTACTGGTTTATGATTTGATGCTACAAAGCCCGTTCAACCAGTTGCTCAATGGTCTTGGAAGTCTAGGGAAGGCCCCTGACCATCCTGATGGCGTGGACACTCCTGGTGGGTTCAGTGCTGGGGAACTTGGGGGATTTGGGGATTCGGTGCTCAAGCAGGTGGCTGGAAGACCATCCAAATTCATAGAGACCAGTTGCCAGTAGATCATAGTCAGCAAGATTCAGTAAGTAGTAGACTCAAGACTGCGATTGTTCTTGGGGTGTCTTGTTTGAGCAGATACGACCATGAACATCAATGGACCTTCAGCAGTTTCTCATTATTGCGCTTGTCCACTTCACTTCCAATCATGTTTGGAGAGAATCTTCCCAGACGCTCCAAACCGGAGACCCCAGACACCCAGACCCCTCCAGAGGATGGTCCGACCCCTCCAGACCCAAAAACCCACTGAAAACCGGCTCCACTCACTCACCCCGCTCACCGCGCCACTCGCTCACCGCGCTCACCTCGCCGCGCCACGCACGGGCACGCGCTCACCGAGTCCCACGAGCCCCGACGGCACGGAGACGGAGGTCGCCTCCGTGGCTCGGTCGTCGAGGGTCGGGGAGGGGAGGGGCATGCCATGCAGCGGATGGGCTGGCCACAGGTAGTCCAGAGAGAGGAGGCCTTTTTAGGTAGTTTTTCTCCAAATCTGAGCGGAAGACTCCAAAGAAGCTTCCCATGGATGGAATTCAGATCCAACAATTGGTAATGGAAGTCCGGCAGAGCTGGATACTCCAGCGTTGGATGAACCAAGAAACCGGGCACCCAAGTGCTGGAAACCGGTGACCGGTTCGGCAGGATCATAGGCCGGTTCATCAGGGCAGAATGCTGGGGGGAACGTCCGGATCCGTTCGGTGCTGTTGGAACGTGCTGTCCTCCGGAACCCGGATGGACCGGCGATGGACCGGCGGAACTGGTGACCTGTCCAACGCATCCGACATTCCGGGACCCTGGGGGGAAGTGGGTTGACCGAAACAGAAGACGTCGTATAGTATATGTATATACCCTGAGCATCTGAACCACCAAAATGGGAAACCTCGTGTTTTGGGATGAACCCTACGTTTTTGTCGTGTTTGGAGGCACAAGGTATATATGTAAGTGTGGAATAATTGCATTTGACGTATTTGTTTCGCTAGACAGAAATGGCTTTGAGTTGCTTAATCCAATGCATAATGTATATACACGTTAGTTGCTATTATATATATATATATATATATGTATACGTTCTGCGTGTTTGACTCTGCTGTCTCGCGTCGATCTGGCAGTCCATGGGTGGCATGAATAGGGCGGGGAACCCTTCGCTCTTCATGATCCACTTTCTCAAAAAAACCCTTCGCCCTTCAGGAGATGCAGAAGCGCATGACTTCCACATTTGGCAGCTTAGGGGAGAGCTTGGTGGAAAGCCTGGCTGCTGACCCCACCATCAGCTCGCTGATCAGCGAAGCCCAGGAGAGGGGTTTCGTGGTGACGGACCGGGTGGCTGACCGGGAAAGCCTAGAAGATGTGTTTGTTTAGTTGTGGGCCAAAACGCACCTGGTGAAGATCTTCAGGCAATTCTTCAGCAACTTCCAGCTGGTTCATTAGATGACCGATGACCTGCCAAAGCACGCAAACAGACCTCTGAACAGACCAGATAGATTTCTCCCTTGAAGACTGACTATGGACAGTTGGGAGGTCCTTTTTGATCAAAAAACATACAGTAAAATACAGTAAAATGTGTTCATTGTAGTTGGAGCAAAGGGATTTGCCGCACCCAAGGCCCTCTCCGGTTTGAGGGTGTGCCCGGAAACATCCTGTAAGGGTCCAACGGGCACGTTTTGGAAGGTGGGAGGTTCACCTACATTCTTTCTCGAAACTGGTTATTACATTTGCTGCGCCCAGTGTGGAGAAAGGTTTTGGTATGAACGATTGCTGACTACCTTATGACTACCCTACCTCGGCATTTGTTGCAGCATGTGTCAGCGAACCTGTTCTTTTGCAGTAGTGCATTGGTGGCCAGAGTTCTTGACCAAGCTCGGCTCTTCTCATCTTACCAAGGTTCTGCAACATTTGAGACTTGAGTTTTCACACCCAATCATGTGGGCAATGATATGTTCACTACAAAATGATGTCAAGTTTCAATAGTGACCCTAATCAGGAGATTGTTTTTGCATCTTGTAGTCACTGTCATTTTGTAGCGGCCTATGTTTGAGGATTGTATGGGTGTGTGTGTTTCTTTTTTTTCAGGTGTTGTAGAGAGCAAATTGAGGTGGAAGATTTAGTAAGCAAGAATGTCATGGTTCAAAAGGTCCGCTGTCTTGTTGGTAGCAATTGCCCTGCACATCCCCACCCATGAAATTGGAAGCGTGATTATATGTATACACACAAACCTCACTAGCCTGTCCTTATGATAAGTTATATACATCGACCTGTTTGCCCGGCCGTTTTTGGCAGCTTTCCTGGCCGCCCTGGTGGGAATCGATCAGGAGTCCTTGGTGGACCCGGAGGAACAAGCCACACGCAAGATTAAGGTCGGGGCCACGTCGGTGGCCTGTTGCTTCAAGGACTTCCAGGGAGGCACCTCTTCAGAGGTCAACTTCCGAGACATCTATTGCATGGGCGTGGTTTCAGGGGTCATGTAGGCGATGCATGGACTGTTTGGGATAGGTATAACATGGTATGACATGGTATGAATATGTACCAAATCAACCCCCTAGCGTTCCGCAAAGGACGCCATGGTCAGGGTGCCAAATCGACGTTGGCGTTGGCCTCGCTGGAAGTTGATGATTCTCGAAGCGTCGGCCAGCGTTTTTTGCCGGCCAGCGCTTCGGGTGAATTGATCATGTTTGATGGAAGTGAGTGATAGGCATTGGTCATTGGTCGTTAGGTGAACTTCGAGCAGTCCCCGGGGCCCAGGGGCCCAGGGGCCAGGGCATTGGTGACAGCGTGTCCCCGGCCCATCCCGACGCAAAAGACAAACCTTTTCGATGTCTACGTTTTTCAATGTGACCACTAGCCTATCACGCTACCAGGGAGCCAGCCTTGGATTAAAGATTCAAAGGGCCGGGCCTTGAGGGCCAGACCTTTCGATCCCAGGCCAATCAAGATCATCATCCCTAGGGCTCCTGGCCCACCTCCATTTCGAAGGTGGTTGGGGTGGGTGCCAGGGGGTGCCCTACCGTTAAAATACACAATTTAATGCAGCTTTTCAATCAGGTCGGCAAGTTGGATTCTGATGGACCATGGAGAGCTCCCTGGCCCTTGCACAGAAGATGGTTCATGATGTCCTGGTTGCCACCGACACAGCAAGTTTGTGGGTCTTCCTCCCTGAGCTGTAGGCATTGCTTGATAAACTGGCAGCTGCATGGGAGGAGGCTGCAGCGGGTGGCGGTGTAATTTGGGCCGCATTCACATCGTTCGCTAGCCCGAATCCTTCCAGGCACTATCATGGTCCGCAAACGCGACCAAATGGCCGCTGTACAGCCATTCTTGGGCCGTGTTTCTTCCCAGACACTCCATGGGACTGTCATATTGACCGATCACTTGGGGTGGCGCCAGAGGGGTGAATGGGGCGGCAGTCCTATGGCAGTCCCATTAGTCGTGTTTGGGCTTTATACTATGTTTATCTATGTTTTATATGTCTTTATCGGAGGCAATGGACCACTGGATCACCCACGCAGCGCGCACGACCGCGCCACGACCTCTCCAGACAGACCCTCCACGTTCGACACCGGACGTTTCCACGTCCGCCCAGTGGTTGGTTGAAGCCCTGTGAGTCGTGTGGTTCGGCACTGGACTGGTCACCAGGAAGCATCTTTTCAAGGTAAAGATCATCAGCAACCCGACCTGACCCCACCTGGGCCCCCACATCGACACAGCGAGCGAGCTGCACCAGGCGGAAGCCTTTGCAGCTCAATACGTGGATCGGTTTCGGGGCATGGCTGCAGGATGCCTTCACAGCTCCCTGGAGACCAGAGGGAGTCTTTTGACCCAGAAAACGTCCAAAGAGTCTAAGTAGTTTGTTAATGGACACATGCCGTATTTTGGGGCACACTCACTCGTAAGGCTGGCCAGCACCCTGTTCCTTTCTACAGCTCAAGTCGGAGACCAATCCACTAATTCCCGTCCCAGTGTCCGAGCTTTGGCATCCCATTTCACGAGGTCATCCACCCAATTTCTTGAAAAAGGTCATCCAATCCTTGGCGTAGTGTCACTGGGAAGCTGGCATAGATGACCCACACCACACAAGGCCTTGGTTTTCCCCAAGTGGATCTTGGGCTCTGGGACCGGACCTTGTAGGTCTGTCGGTTTCGGGACCAGTCCTGGATGTGGAGATGTGGACCTCAACTCAGTTGCCTCGCTTAGGTTGCCTCCTCCTGAGCGATGGGCAATTTCTGGTGATCGGAGAAGCTTGGTTTTGGATGGGGATTGCCTCCTCCAACTCGATCCCCAAACCTGAGGTGGGTGTAGTATTTTAATAGGGGTACAACCAAAAACGCCCGAGGCTTAGACTGGTCTATTTCCCGAACTCGGGATCTTGATGAGGCCCCCCGACAGCGGGGTTGCTGCTTGGAGCTCCAAGGTCCATGTGCACTGGGGCTGCCATAGCTTGGGTGGATGAGTTGGGGTGTGTTATTTTTCTTCCGGTGTAGACAGACTTTTTGTATGATTGAAAGGTTTGCCGGAAGGATTGGACGGTCATTGCATGTCTGTTTGGACCTCAAGCGGCTAGTTTCTTTCATTGGATCATATTGGATCATAGATGCAGAATTCCTTGTTTGCTGCTCAGCTCAGCTGCAAAACGCTTGCGGCGTACCGCAACGGCCTTCGGCCGAATCGACTGAGGACGACAGTGCCAATCAATGTACGCTGCCGGAGGGGCTGGTTCCCAAGGCCGGCTGGTTCCCAGTGGCGCGGGGTGGAGACGGTGGGTGTGGCGTCACCTCCCAGGCCGTAGACCAGGGTGTAAGAGGGGGTATCCCTATCAAAATGCAGGATTCTGTGCCTATGAACATGCAAAACCATCAGACAAAGCGAGAGTCCAACGACCTCACCGCCGAGCTTGAAGTGAGCAGTGGGACTGAGGAGCTTCAGCCTTAGGGAGTGGGGTCCCAAGTGTGGTTCTAAGACAGTACGATTGGTTGATTCAATATGTGGATCTTTCCGATGGATTCTTCAGCCTTTGGCCGGGAACTTGCAGGCATGCACCAGTATGTCATATCAAATGTCTACAGTAGAAAACATTTACCCAAACCTTCAAAGACAATTTAACTAGATAGGTTGACCTGGCTTTCTAGTCTTAACATGTCTTAACATCCTTAGTGAAACAATGGTTGCTTGGTAAGACTATCAAAGCAATGGTTGTTGGAATCCCAGGGTTTACATGCTGTTTCATGCTGTTTGCCATTGACACCGACCCTGAGCATTCTTGCCCCATTTCACTGAGCTGTTGGTGGCAGAATGTTGGAGTCAGACCTTCCTATAGTATCCTAGAGTCATGATCATCGACTGGCACTTTTGGCTGAAGGGCTGCTCCTTTCCGAGCCTTGAGCCTTACAAAATTCATAGAGATGTCATATTCATGTTCACACATCAGGCCCTTAGGCGTCGGCTACTGTTAACCCCTCCTTCGTATACTCTTCCAAGTTGGGGAGCGGGCGAGACCAACGCCTGCTTTTGCCCGTCTTCGATGGATAGGAGCTTGAGTATCTATGAATCCTCCAGGGAAATCAACTCAACCTGTTGAGAATGACAACTCAACCTGTTTCCTGACACTTCCCCAGGTTCCGGTCATCGATGAAGCAGATTTGCCCCTCGGCGTGCTGGTCCATAGCAAGCCCAAACTGCTGCTGCCACCGGAAGAGGTGAATCCTGAAGGGGCTGAAGCGCCGGAGGACAGCCAGCCCGGATGAGCCTGGATGGGCCACGCCTCCCTTTTGCCGTCCTTTGGTGTAGAAGACAGCTGTGAGATGTAGCAGCAGCTATATAGTCTTCAAATTCAAGCGTTGGATCGAAAGTGTGAAAACTGGCCTGCTTCAGGCACGGCTCAATCATAAACTTAGTCTCACAGCTTGGTTTTTATCCGTGGGTTTTCATGGCACCTTTTTCTCCTGGCCGACTTTGGATGGGGACGCCCCTCATCAACATACGTAAATCAATGTTAATGTCCCCTTTTTCAGTAGAGAGCCAACTCCTGCAAAGGCAAGATGTTGTTTGGGGTGAGTGTCACACTTTGACCAACACATATTAGATGGTTTATTCCCTAGGGATCCAGTCGTACCTTCTCAAAAGGTGACTGGAGGCATTGATATGTAGGTTTGGAGGGTCCAAGTACCTTCTCAGGATCCCGAGGGATTTATTAAGTTCACTCACAATCACCCGCCAGTGTTGGATTCGAGCCTTTGTTTTTGGTCACTGGAAGGGGCAAATACTGCAGAGTCAGCCTGTTTCATTTTGTTTTGAAACAGGGCCTGCAAAAACATCTAGTATTTTTCTAAGCCCATGTTCATTTCCTTTTTTGGCATCAGACGGGAGTTGGCTGCGGGCCCGGCATCGACTGCAAGCCACCAAAGAGAGCATTTTTGTGGCTCCAGTTGAATTGGACAGCCAAAGGTTCTCCAGTCCAATTGATGTGGCAGGTCGATCTTCGGTTTCGGGCGCATCCATGCGCCGTCCATGGGGCGATTACGCGTTTTGAACGGGACACCAGCATCGACTAGAAATCATTTGACATCGCCTAGCCATCTGATGTTCGCAAGATTTATGGATAAACTACCGGTTCTTGTGTAATTCGAATCATGCTTATCTTTGGCGGCTTTGTGATCATTCTGCATCAATCAGAAAGGCCGGGAGTTGGCCATGTTCGGGGTTTTTGAGGCACAGGACACCCCTTTTCGGTGCCCTTGGCGAGCGGACGCGCCCGACCTCACCAACGTGCCTCCCGCAGATCGGAACGGCGAATCAAAACGGAACGGCACGAGGGGAGAAGGAACAGTGGGGAGACCGGTGGAGGGAACTGCTTGCGACTGCTTGTTCAAGCCTCTTTCATGATGCCAATCCATGGGTCCTCTTCTTCTGTTTGTTCAAGTGGTTTTGTCAACTAAGCCAGTCCAGGCTTTCTTGCTTTGAGCAGCGTCATCCGACACAGGGTGCTGCAAGTCCTGTGAGCACTGGCCAGTTGGAGCCACTGATACGGAAAGGGGGAGCAAAAACCATCACAAGGTGCAGTTTGATGTACTGAACCTCACTCAGATCTCTGTGGCTCAATTCCCAACAACTCCCATATCTTCACGACTTGCAGTGGTTTCAGGGTTTTTCCGGCACAAACCTCAAGATGTCAATAGATGGTGTACATCAAACCTTCCAACAACTTGGGGATTGTGCCATCGTAGTGCCATCTACTCCCTCTCCTGTGTCCTGTGTCCGTCAGCTCCTCACCACCTCCGTCAGGTGCTCCGCTGCGACCTTCGCCTTTCGCGTATGGAGCACGGGCGAGCACGGCCGAAAAGGGATCGGCTCGTCATCGATGCTTTCCGCGGTCCGGAACCCCGGACGGGCATGGATGGCATTGTGAATTCCCGCGAGGCAAAAAGAGCGGCCGAGGGTCAAAGAGCGGCCGAATCGGTCTGAAAGATCCGGGAAGTGTTGTTTTTTTGTTTAATATATACCAGCAGTCACAAGACGGGGTGCGATCCATGGAGGTTAAGGGTGCCCAGAACATCCACTCACTTAGGGACTAAACACCACCCCTTTGTGACTCCTGGTAGGTTAAATTATGCTAATGATTACTTGGACATTGTGCGCTTTAGATTGGCGAAGCATGGCTTTTATTCCCAATCCTCAAGGTGAACAATCGATAGGATCCAAGGGGTTCTTGTGTTTGCTAGTTCATTTGCACACTGGTTGGCACCAAAGCCTTCACTTGGCGGGTTTCTATTCGTTCCTGTTTGACCTTTGAATTGCAGAGGTGGCCCCAGTTCGTGGGTGTCAAGTTTGAGAAAGGTGTGGTGGTTTCAGAGATTTTGGAAGATTCAACCTGAATACTTGGGATGATCAAACCATATTAAACCCACATGAGCCCATTGAGCATATATGTTTATGTGCTTCATGGTTCATAAATGTTATTCTGTTTTTGTGAAGTTGAAGTTGAGACCATGGCCCCCAGCTGTGACCCCATTTGGAGTGCCAAATTCACCTCTTCAGAGACTAAGATGACTAAGATGGCGTCATCTGGAAAACCATCTCAAGGGCCACAGGGGGTTGGACCCCACGCAGGAACACAGAGGTCTCCTTCACGACTTGGCGGAGGCTGAAATGGAGAGTGGCTTGGAGCAGAGCGAGCTGATGGAGTAGGTTGCGGGGCGACGATCCTCAAAACATGAATTGCTTTGGTTGAAGTCTTCTTTGAGAGGGTATTCATCAAGAGGGGTACTCATGGGGCTTATCCTTATGCATATATATCTCATGCTGAATCCTTCAGAAGATTAAGAAGTGCACGTTTGAAGATTTGGTTTGTGGAAGATGCGGGAGGGAAGGGCTTCAATGGGTTCCCATCTTCCGGTTCGGGGTTGCTCGATTCGGATGCCAAGACCCATCAGGTCCGGCATTTTGTGGCCTGAAATGCCTCATGCCCATTCGCCTGCCCCAAATCAGACCCCAAAAAGACACGCCCTTGGACCCGGCAGCACTGGGTCCGCGCTTCGGCGCCGTTCGTGGGGTGAAGTGAGCACTTTCGCCACGCGACCGGCGTTCGCTTCGCTTTAGCCTGGGGTCACATAGTTGATCAAACTTGCAAAGAACAACCCCCAGAAGCTTAGAGGTACCTCATTTGGGGTCCGCTGTTGGCAGGAAAACCAACACCTTGGGGGGTCAACGATCCACTGAAAATCAAGATCAAGACCAGCTCTAGAGGGATTTAGCCGTTGTTCGCAGCTGAAGTTGATGCAAGGTGAAACCAAGTACGTAGACTGATGGCTGCTTCCCAAGTACATGCATGATCAGGGCATATCATGGCTGCATTGAGCACAAGCACCCCCGAGTTTGGATATAGATACAGATGATACAGATATGTGTCCGCTGCCGCCACTGTTGCATCAAGAGTGTGGTTGTTTCCTTCCCCTGATCCATCAAGACCCTCATCCACCGGACACCCAACTCTTGAGCTCCGTCCCAACTCTGGAGCTCCGTCCATGTCGTTCCGGAGCGTTGCGATCGTCGCGGTGGCTTCGGTGGGACTCCTCTGGTTGACGTTCCGCGCCAGTGCGCCGTGGGACGGGACGCCGGTGGAGGTTCCACGAAGCGGTGAGCCGGGGTCACCGGGCTCACCGGTGCGGACGGTGGACGGTCCTTCCGGACCTGGACATCCGGAGCTGAAGCAAATGGGTGAGGAGCAGGTGGTGCACTCAACGACCCAGACCGTGGAGATGAGTGGCGAGGTGTTCCACCTATCACCGAAGAGCCTCCGTGAGAGAGTGGAGCATCCATCGCCGAGGGACGATGCCGGTCCAGAACTCGATGATCCCCGAGAGAAGAGGTCGGATGAGAAGACGTCGGATGCCATGAGGCAATGCGTGCTGGACACCAAGGTGGGGCCATGGAGAGGGGCCATGGAGAGGGGCCATGCCCAAGGTAGAGCAAACAACCAGCAGTCACAAGACGGGGTGCTATCCATGGAGGTAGTCGGGGTGCCCAAAACATCCACTCACTTGGGGACCCAACACACCACCCCGGGCTTCTGACTCCTGGAAGTGAAATATGTGCTTCTTTTTGCTTGATTTATATGGCCGCAAGTGGTGTGTACTGTACTCGTGTACTTGGAAACTTTAGACATGAACTGAAGTTGAGGCTGGTGTTTGGACTCCATATGGGACATGTGTGGTAGCGGCGGTATATTTTTGACCCCCCAAACACCTCCGAGGTAGTTGGAGGGCCAGGGTATAGGCGTCCCTTTTGTTGTTGTATTGTTCTGGTTTTTTCTGCTTCCCCATAGGTCTTTCCTGAGAAATCGGAAGTGGATGCCATTGTCAGAGTGCTCCTGCAGCCCCGCGATTTGTCGCAAAGAGACGAGCCAAGTGAGACGAGGATCCCTTTGCCCTTAGTCTTCACGCAAATCCCAAAGTACGAAGGGGCTGCTCATTTGCAATCATTTTGTCCAGGGGTTCCAACATGGCATGCCCGTGATCCACCCGGATAGGGTGTAGACTAGACACATGGGGAACAATTCCATGTTGGAACTCCTACAAGGGCTTGTTATTGTGTTACCTTTGTGGTGTGGGGCAAGCCTTTCATTTTTGAAGTTGTCCCGTGTTACAACAATTAGACACCATGTCCTTCTCATTCGGGACTCATGTGCTGTAGTCATCCAGCGCGTTTTTGTCCCGTCACCCAATAAGGTGAGCATTGCAGAAGCCTTTCACCATGCTTGGAGTAGCTTTGGCTGTGGAAAGATGTTCTTTACCAAGAGCGATGTTCGAATCCGCACCGGCCGAAAGACATGCTTCACACTTTGGGCCGGCTCGGAGGGTGGGAAACACCTCTATCCCTGGGGCTTCTTCGACTCCAGAACTCGGAGACAGGACGTGCCTGATCTGGAGCGCTTGATTGGCCTCCGTGGGTACCTGCCCTTTGGGGCGTGCCGCTTCCTGGCCCCGGGATGTAGCTACGCCACCGTCTTGTTGGACCCTGTCGCGCGCTATTTGACTCATGTGCACTGGGAGTGTACCCATGGCCATCCCTTCAAGGAGTGTGAATCCTTGGCAGAGTACACGCACAAGGCCATAAGGGGCCAGGTGGGCTTTTATGGCATTGACAACTATCAGACACGGATGCTCGCGGCTTGGCTTTTCGATTTGGATCCCTGAAATGATCGCTGATGGTCGCTGTTCTCTTGGGCTCATGACATGATTCCGCCAGGTACCCCAAGTCCGTGAACGAAGTCAGAGATGTTCAATTTTTGGGGAAACTCTTAAAATACAGGGCCAATTCCATCAGGATCCATCATGTGTCATTCCTGGCGTTTTATGTATCATTGATCTACACCTTCTTTGTCCTTCTATATACATGTACCAGTTCAACTCAACCTTCACCCCGTTCCTCCCATTACCCGGTCACCCGAGAGCCTTGCCGATCCGGTCCGGGTGCGAAAACGGCCCGTCTCGTCCTCCGGCTTGGCGCGAGGCCGGCGATGGCGCGGAGGATCCAGGTGGTGCACCGTGCTTCGTCCCAGAGAGGTGTCACCAACAGCCGCTCTTCGAGGTCCACGGCCCGCAGCTCCGCCAGGCCGCTCGCGGTCCCGCGACCGGGTCGCTCGGGGGAGGGTGTGGCGACACCGGAGGAGGCGCAAACGAAGAGGTGCGATCAAGTGCCACGGGGTGATGGTTTGGGTCAATGGTTATGACAGTTATTATGAGCTGTGAGTGTAATGGTTCCCAGCTATAGTATTGATGAGTTCCTGTGTTTGACTTTTGGTCGGTCTCGTAGGGCCATTGTGCCAGGCCATACACAACCTGGCTTTTCACTATGCCGTTTGGGGTCTTCTTGATGATCTCCGCGCTTTCGCTCATCAGGCATGGCGGCAACATGCCACATCATGCCACTGCTTTTTGTGGGCCTGGCCACCTGTTGGGATCTTGCACCCTCACATTGTGTGCTCATGATGGGGTATCTATCTATCTACAGTAGAGGACTGCCAGATAGAATATGATGTTCATTGAATTTCAATAATTGCTGCTTTAAGTTAATGCACCAAACCTTCCAAAATACATGACCCTGGGGATGACCCTCGCAGATAGAATATGTGCCTTTCAGAAAGCAGGGGAACATATCCTAGCTGTTAGTCCAAAGCCACCAGACCTTGCAGAGACAAAGCTAGGCCTCCAAACCTAATAGCGATGGCCTCCAACCTGATAGCAATGGCGATGGCCTCCAAGATAAGAGCGATGGCCTCGTTGCGTCTTTATATTCTAACTGCATGTGGTTTCCGATCTTCCCCATGCTCTGTGTAAAGCCGAATTCTAACTGGGATTTAAAACACAAGAGCTTCTAACTGCTCGTCCGCCATAGTAAGAGGATGTGGGAGACAGCCAGACATGGCCGATCAGCTGACTGATTGCCACCAAAATGCCCTCAACACGCCCAACATGGCACCTCCACTTCATGGCTTGTGATCAATGCAGCAAGGAGGTGTAGCCGGTGTAGCTCCTGGAACGCCGGTCAGATCGAGATCGCAGAGTGAAGGGATCCCAGCAAATCAACAAGCAAGGCTGAGAGTGGAGCCCTCAACCTCTTGCCACCCCTCACATGGACGCGGCCAATCACACGGCCGGTCTCGAAGGTCCCAGGGTCCGCACTGGATGACCAAGAAGGTCAGAATCGTTTCACCTTTTAAAGCATCATGTGTATAGACATGTATATATAGACTGTAGACTCTTGAATTTTTCTCAACCCCCCCAAGCCTGAAGAGGATGTCCAATTTAAATGTACTTGTTGTACGCTTTTGCAGGTGGCCAAGGTCTATGGTTACTTCCTGCGCTTGAGCCCGGCCATTGCGCCGGAGCTGGGGAACTTCTCCATGGACTTGGTGGATGCTCAGGCCTAAGTCCTAAGCCGTTGAGGTGGACAGGGCGGAGGTTTGGGGGTCTAAGCCTAAGCAACAGAGGTTGAAGAACCCTATATATATATATAGAGTCCTATAGGTACCCCAGGTGACGGGTCCTATTTACAGTTACTTAATGTCTAGATGTGGTAAGCTGGAAAAAAACGGTGCATGTCTTAACTTCGATCAGTCTGGTGTGCCATCTCTTCTATAATAGGGCATTACGGCTAACGCCCTGGTGCCGCCGACCCGGACCTCCCTGTTTGGACCGATGCCACATGGGCCTATCGAGCGGTCTAAGCTGGCTATAAAAGGCGTAGCTAACCGTGATCGGCCTGTGGTGGCCAAAAGACGTGACATCTCAAGAGTCGGCTCTTCCGAAAAAGGACGCGTCGAAGTCCCAAAGTGTAGTGTTCACCCAGACATCCCAATGAGCTGAGCATAGAGATTTTTGTGAGACAGGTTTAGGTTAACAAGGTCAACCCTATACTGCTGAACTAGCCACAGTAATCGAAGTCAGTGCGAGAGGAACACAGCTTTGTTTGCTTAGCTGAAGAGCTAATACCACGAAGCCAGCATTTGTTGGACTACGAATGCCTCCAAGCCCGCCACGTTGTTCCAAAGGAAAACAGCCAGAAAGGGTGCCGAAGCGGCAGTTTCGAAACCCGTGAAACAACGATTGTATTCGCCCACGGCAAGAGGCGTGGAGGGTGCCCCACTGCCACAGCCATGAATAGGCAGCCCCGGCACAGTCGCCGCAGCCTTAGCCCATCTAATTAAGATATATATATACATACATATATGAGTGCAACATCTGTTCTGCTCCCTATTAATCAAGCCCAGCTGGAGCCCCCAATGAATACTAATTCAAAACCTGAATTCCTCATCACCCTAATCCTTTTTTCTTGGCAGAAACCTCCCCTATTAATCAAGCCATATCAAGCCCATCTGCTCCCAGAAAGTATACAAATTGGTTTAAAGCTGCAATCAAAGCTGCCAATGTTCTCCCAAGCAATCTTTGTTCCACATTCCCTAGAAACCTCTCTAGCATCTAGCAAAAATATGTAATTTTATATTATTAATAAATTGTATCACAGTCTTAAGGTTTTCAAGCTCACAAAGGCTACCCCTCGCACAGGTCTCAGTGTTCACACAGAATCCTATCAACCATCATCCATCATCAGGTCATCGCCTTTATTAAGGGGATGTGGTCTCCAATACCTTCAATCTCAAACCTTGTTGACCTTGAAGGGGTGGTGATTAATTCGGTGTTGGCATGAAAAAATACGGTGATTGGGCAGCGTTTTTGGGCATGAAATAGCTCTTCCGAAAGAGAACAGCTAGTCACCAGACTTCTGAGTGCATTTCCACTGCGCGGCGCCAGGTGAGGAAGGAAATCGAAGAGATGAATGGAGCTGACTTGATCCTCTACCACTTCGTCCGTTGCGTCCTTGCGGCTGGTGGCCCCCGCTTTCAGACGCCCTAATGGTTCGGAGGAACAGTTCTGGGACACCAAGGGACAGAGGTGAGATGGAACTGCTAGGTGCCGAAACAGAGTTGAGCCAAGAGGAGTTCCCCGAGCCCGGGACCAGCAGCGCTCAGTCCATGGCATGTTAGCAGCCAGATATGATCCGATGCGGCCCTGGACCAGCAGATCCCAACTCTTCGGATGCCGATGCCACGCCGATGCCGGGAGGATGGTGGCATCGCAACGCCGTGCCGATCTGCGCTGCGCGGAGGGAAGAGAAGATCGATGGGGTCCACCCGAGCGGAGGATGGATGCATGTTGCTGAGAAACATCGGCCGAAGTGGCAAGTGGTGGAAGGTCTAATCCTCAGCTTATGGAAAGGAACACTCCCCTACCAGGCCCTTACCAAAACCAATGCCAAATAATGTGATTGAAGGACTTTGGATATATACTGTGATCGTGCACCACTCCCTGGCAGAGTTCCAACCTTTGTGCCCCCTGCGGTTCGGGATCGAGCATGTATCGAACCGAACCTGTCGCTCGAACCGGACCGGTTGCTGACATCCGGTTGCGAGATTCGGCGGTTCTTGTGGCGGTTCTCCAGGCCCGAGCAACCATCTTCAGATGTTCATTCTCGAGAGTGAGAAACCGCAGCGAAATCAGCTTCTGAGTAGCTCCAGGTGAAAGAATTCATCAAACGACCCTTTATATTAAGATGTGGAACATGTGGCGTGTCCATCGTACAATTTCAATGTGAACATCAATCCACGTGAAAGTTGATGTCATGATAAATTGGATCTTAAGAGCAAATAGCAAATGAAAATTGTAAGTGAGAAAGTGGCAGATAAGCTGTCAGATTTGTTGATTGCACCTGCCATGGTAGATAGGGCATCAATATGCCAAACCAATGTGACATACAACACAATGACATGCACATGTTAATTAATGCCAAGCGGAAATTCTTGAACAGTGGCTGTCCGAAATCAATCCCTAGCCACATTAATGTATGTATACAGTATTTGTACATATTGATTCGGTCAATCATACAAGTAACTCCACTGAGACGCAATGTTGGATGGTTCTTTGCGCTCAGAAACCGTGCCACTTTGGCATCGGGGCATGACTGACGTAGCCATTGAGCTGCACAAAGCAGTGCACCCAGCAAGGTGGTGCATCACCTTTGCTGATCTCAAGTTCTTCCAGTCTGAAGTCCGTAGGGTCATCCAAGATGGGATGACCTTTCAGGAGAACTTCGAAGCTTCGTATGGGCCAAGCATGTATGTCGTGAATGAACAGTACATCAAGCCGGTCACAGCGGCTGCTGGCAAAATGAGTTGGGCATTGATGATGAATCCTGATGGGCTTGACTGCGATTTGTTTATCACTCATGCTTGGCAGGAAGATGTGTTCGAGTTCACCGATAAAGTGCTGACATCCTGGCCTTGGCGTGCACGCCATGCTTGGTGCTGTATGCTGGCAAACCCGCAGAATTTAGATATTGGCGCTTTGCTTCAGTCCCCATCAATGTCTCCTTTTGCACTTGCCCTGCAGAGCTCCAAGTACATGTTGGTGGTGCCTAACCGGCACAAGAGTGTCTACACAAGGTTGTGGTGTGGCTATGAAGCCTACTTGGCCTTCCAAAGTAACAAGATCATTCGGACAGCTTCGCCTTCCATCTGGCGAGAAGCTTTGTGTTCATGGCTCAGGATGTTTCCTGCGCTGCTGGTAGGTCTCACTATTGGCGTTGTTTCCAAAGTGGGGCAGCTGGACCTATTCTTGCAGTTCATACTGACAATGAGAATCCCAGTTTCAAAAATTCAGTGACCTTTTGGATCCTTTTGGCATCCAAAAACTGGCTCCCGAGCATCAAATCCATTCTAGATTCTAGATGAATCTTAATCAGTCTATTTATGCAAGGCCTTTTTGCCAAGTGAGGAATGATAGCGCTTTTGGCGAGCCTGGTGAGTCAACACTGTGGTTTGATGCGGCTGTGCCTGGTTGCCAACCATGTGGGCTTAGCCAGTATTTCAGTCTTTATCATCACAGATGGAACACTTTGGAGTAAATACGTTCATATTCCCTTCTCCGGGATGACAGCGCTACTGCTGGTGAATATCCATCGTATTTGCATTTGGGTCTATTTCTTGCTTGCTGAAGTTGACCGAGTGAACTGCCAAACAGAAATGGAAGAGGCGGAAGCGTTGCAAAAGCAATATCAAGGGTCAATTCGTCACGCGTCTTGCTCAGAAGTTCGAGATGAAGTGAACATTCGGCATGAGATAGGTGACCAGGTTGATGAAGTTGACAAAGTCATCCAAGTACTGTTGAAGGCAGGCATATCATCAGATGCACTTCGAGCTGCATATTTGCAGGGGGTCGAACTTCGGCATGCTGGCTTCGTTCAATTGGCCATCCCCGTGCTTGTGCTCGGGCCTTTGTTACTGCTGGGTTGCGGGCTGGTGGGGCAATATATTGTTTTGCTTGACGAAGCAGCTGATCCAATTGCAGAAGTCTATCCATTTTGGCTACCAGTTCAATGCACATCCATTCTTGCTAGGCTGGCCTTCTTGTGTTTGTTTTGCAGACGTTCCATCGATGAACAATGTTTCATGCTGAACGTGATGGCGAAGATCGTGACGGCATTCTATGTTTTCATGTTGGAGCTGAGCACTTTGGGGAACGGAGGTTTTTGTTCTGAACTGAGCATTGTGCTGTTCATTGTGTACTCCCTTTCCTTCTTAGTGGTGCTTTTCTTCGCTGTCTTGGGCATCCGTGGCACATTGAAGTTGCTGGCCAATCCTAAAGAGTTATTGTTGTAAGCTTGTGAGCTCCCCAAATGCCCGCCCCATGAAGAAATCCTTAACTTGTCGACGTTCTTTCTTGATGTTTGCCAACCTGAGGCTACCTGGTGGCAGGCAATTGGCCCAATTCTTCTTGTCACGGCTGGTGGTCTCGGGCAACTGGAGGCTGAGTAGAACGCAGCTTGAAAGCTCCCCAGAGTGTTCGGAGGTCTTCTCCCAGTCCACGGGAGATGCGTCGGATTCTTCAGGATCCGAGAGTTCCAGCTAAACGTGGTTGAAGCTCACAGAGCAAAAAGGATCGAAACTTAGGCCGTGCACCACTATATGGCGGAGCTTCGTTCACTCTTAAGTTGCAAAAACGAGCACTTTGGATTTGGAAGAATTTATACCAACGGTTTTGAAGGTTGTCTATGATATGTCCACTTTGACCATGGAAGTTCAGCAACAAAGCATCCATCCGTTCAGGAATTAGACTTTTAATTAAGGTGCACATCCCTGTTTGCAAAGACCCTTTCCAGAGTTCGGAACTCGTCATTTCCGATGTGCGTTCACGTCTACAAAAACCGGTTCGGGTCTCAGGCTTGACGCCACCGAGTTTGGTACAGCATGGTGCACGAAGCTTCACCGGAAGCTTTGGTTAAACAGTTTGTCACAAAACCACTGAAGGTCAAACCCTCAGGCATCTACAAGCATTTGCAAGCAAGCAGCATGGACAACCATCACTTTTGTGTGGGCTTCTGGTGGCAGTTCTCCATACACCGCAAAGAAGATCATAGATGTGCTCATTCTTGAGAGTTGCCCAGAGCTGTTTCCCATTGCGGTTTGGTTCAATGAAGTAGCTGCAATCTCACATGTATGAGACCCCGAACAAGATTCTGAATTCTGACATGATTTTTCCAGCGAAAATAGCCACCATGTCGGGGTCTCCCGGATTGCAACCGGACACTCTTTGTTTGCGTGTTGTCTTGCAAGTGTGAATGAACAGGTCAGGTCCGCGTTGGTCGCCCGAGAACTATATTCATTATTATTCATTCGACATAATCTGGGAAAATTAGAGCAGTCACAGAGAACTGGCATGTCTAGGTTATTTCCTTAGGCTAGGCACAAGGCTTCCGGCTCCCATGCAATCAGTATCTCCACTGAACCGAAATGTTTGATGGTCGGCCGTGCTCGGTTACCGAGCCCGTTCCGTATCGGGGCAGGAGGGGCAGGACTGACACAGCCATAGAACTGCATGAGACAGTGCACCCAGCGAGGTGGTGCATCACCTTCTCTGATCTCAAATTCTTCCAGTCTGAAGTCCGTAGGGTCATCCAAGATGGGCTGACCTTTCAGGAGGACTTCGAAGCTTCGTATGGGCCAAGCATGTATGTCGTGAACGAACATTACATCAAGCCGGTCACAGAGGCTGCTGGCAAAATGAGCTGGGCATTGATGATGAATCCTCATGGACTTGACTGTGATTTGTTTATCACTCATGCTTGGCAGGAAGATGTGTTCGAGTTCACCGATAAAGTGCTGACATCCTGGCCTTGCCGTGCACGCCATGCTTGGTGCTGTATGCTTGCAAACCCGCAGAATTTAGATATTGGTGCTTTGCTTCAGTCCCCATCAATGTCTCCTTTTGCACTTGCCCTGCAGAGCTCCAAGTACATGTTGGTAGTGCCTAACCGGCACAAGAGTGTCTACACAAGGTTGTGGTGTGGCTATGAAGCCTACCTGGCCTTCCAAAGTAACAAGATCATTCGGACGGCTTCGCCTTCCATTTGGCGAGAAGTTTTGTTTTCATGGCTCAGGATGTTTCCTGCGCTGCTGATAGGTCTCAGTATTGGCGCTGTTTCCAGAGTGGGGCAGCTGGACCTATTCCTGCAATTCGCTTTGACAATGAGAATCTCAGTTCGTAAAATTGAGTGACTTTTTAGCATACTGAAATGCTTCCGAGCATCAAACCCCATCAAACCCATTCTATGTACTGTATTTCATAAGTCTATCTATGCAATTTTTTCCAAGCTAAAGCTGGGCAAAAGAGGAACGATGGCGCTTTTGGCGAGCCTGGTGAGTCAACACTGTGGTTTGATGCGGCTGTGCTTGGCTGCCAACCATGTGGGCCTAGCTGGTATTTCGGCTTCTTTCCTCAGAGATGGAACACTTTGGAGTAGATATGTTCATATTCCCTTTTCCGGGATGACCGCGCTGGTGCTGGTGAATGTCCACCGAATTTTGATTTTTAGTTATTTCTTACTTGCTGAAGTTGACCGAGTGAACTGCCAAACGGAAATGGAAGGGGCGGAAGCGTTGCAAAATCACTATCAAGGGTCAATTCGTCACGCATCGTGCTCAGAAGTTCGAGACGAAGTGAACATTCGTCATGAGATAGGTGACCAGGTTGATGAAGTTGACAAAGTTATCCAAGTACTGTTGAAGGCAGGCATATCATCAGATGCACTTCGAACTGCATATTTGCAGGGGGTTGAAATTCGGCATGCTGGTTTCGTTCAATTGGCCATCCCCGTGCTTGTGCTCGGGCCTTTGTTACTGACGGGTGTCGGGCTCGTGGGGCAATATATTGTTTTGCTTGATGAAGCAGCTGATCCAATTGCAGAAGTCTCTCCAGTTTGGTTGCCAGTTCAATGCACATCCATTCTTGCCAGGCTTGTCTTCTTGTGTTTGTTTTGCAGACGTTCCATCGATGAACAATGTTTCATGCTGAACGTGATGGCGAAGATTGTGACGGTCTTCTATTTTTGCGAGGTAGAGTTTAGTTCCTTGGGGAACGGCGAGTTTTTTTCTGAACTGAGCATGGTGCTGTTCATTCTGTACTCCCTTTCCTTCTTGGTGGTGCTTTTCTTCGCTGTCTTGGGCATCCGTGGCACATTGAAGTCGCTGGCACACTCAAGTCGAAGCTTTTTGTGTTTGCTCTTTAAGCTCCCCAGATGACAGCAAAAAAAACATCAATGTCCTTGTTGATGTTCTTTCTTGATGTTTGCCAACCTGAGGCTACCTGGTGGCAGGCAATTGGTGCAATTCTTCTTGTCACGGCTGGTGGTCTCGGGCAACTGGAGGCTGAGTAGAACGGAGCCCGCAGGCTCCCCAGAGTATTCAGAGGTCTTCTCCCAGTCGACAGGAGATGCGTCGGGTTCCGGATCGGAGAGTTCCAGCTAAACAGCAGGCTCTCTGGCGGATTCCGGAGCCGTGGCCACTGTGGCTTTAGTATACCAAGTGGCACCACGCAGCTAAACGTGCGAGGTGCGTCGGATTCTGATCCGAGAGTACCAGCTAAAATCAGCTAAACGTGGTTCAAGCTCACAGACTAAAAGGAATCTCCGGCTGTGCACCGCCCGGGCGGACTGTTTAGACGGAGCCTGTCGCCTGCTTTTGAAAGGATTTTGGCCGGATTTGTGCTACTGACGGTTTTGGCGGTTGTCTTATGATCCACTGTCACCATGGAAGTTCAGCAAACCATAGATTTTAATTCTCAGAAGTTTGCATGCAGCAAATCTTGTGTACGTGAAAGAAGCTCTCGCCGCTCGCGCAGGAAAGCAAGTGATTTTGTTTGCACAATATGAACTAGTTCCAGTATCAGGAATGATGAAAAAACTGGAGCATGTTGATTTTGCAAAACCTACCAATTCGGCAGTCCCCTAATTTTCTTTAACAAATCTATTTCTCAAGAAGTTTGATGATGCAATGATGCATCTCCACTGAAATGCGATGTTGGATGGTCAGCAGCGGCCGAGTACCGCGCCAGTTCGGTATCGGGGCGTGACTGACATAGCCATAGAACTGCATGAGACAGTGCACCCAGCAAGGTGGTGCATCACCTTTGCTGATCTCAAGTTCTTCCGGTCTGAAGTCCATAAGGCCATCCAAGATGGCCAGAACTTTCAGGAGAACTTCTCAGAGTATGGGCCAAGCATTTATGCAGTGAATGAACATTACATCAAGCCGGTCACAGCGGCTGCTGGCAAGATGAGCTGGGCGTTGATGATGAATCCTCATGGACTTGACTGCGATTTGTTTATCACTCATGCTTGGCAGGAAGATGTGTTCGAGTTCACCGATAAAGTGCTGACATCCTGGCCTTGGCGTGCACGCCATGCTTGGTGCTGTATGCTTGCAAACCCGCAGAATTTAGATATTGGTGCTTTGCTTCAGTCCCCATCAATGTCTCCTTTTGCACTTGCCCTGCAGAGCTCCAAGTACATGTTGGTGGTGCCTAACCGGCACAAGAGTGTCTACACAAGGTTGTGGTGTGGCTATGAAGCCTACCTGGCCTTTCAAAGTAACAAGATCATTCGGACGGCTTCGCCTTCCATTTGGCGAGAAGTTTTGTTTTCATGGCTCAGGATGTTTCCTGCGCTGCTGATAGGTCTCATAGTCGGCTTGCTCTTCAATTTTGAGCAGGTGGCTCCATTCCTGAAGTTTATACTGATAATGAGAATCTCAGTTGGCTAAGTTGAGTGACCTTTTAGCATCCTGAATTTGGTCTTGCGGTGTCAAAACAATTTTGAAGAAACCTTGTTTCCACAACCTTTCCCCGCCGAATGCCGCACAAGTGAGGAATGATAGCGCTTTTTGCAAGCCTGGTGAGTCAACACTGTGGTCAGATGCGACTGTGCTTGGTTGCCAACCATGTGGGCCTAGCCAGTACTTCGGCGGCTTTTGTCACAAGTGGAACACTTAAAAAACAATTTCAATTTCTTCCTCTCCCGGGGTGGACAACGTATGTTGTTGTCAATTTCCAACGTATTTGCATTTGGCTCTATTTCTTACTTGCTGAAGTTGACCGCGTGAACTGCCAAACAGAAATGGAAGAGGCAGAAGCGTTGCAAAAGCAATATCAAGGGTCAATTCGTCACGCATCTTGCTCAGAAGTTCGTGACGAGGAGAACATTCGGCATGAGATAGGTGACCAGGTTGATGAAGTTGACCAAGTAATCCAAGTTCTGTTGAAGGCAGGTATGACATCAGATGCACTTCGAGCCGCATATTTGCAGGGGGTTGAACTTCGTCATGCTGGCTTCGTTCAAGTGGCAATCCCCGTGCTTGTGCTCGGGCCTTTGTTACTGTTGGGTTGTGGGCTGTTGGGGCAATACTTTGTCGTGCTTCATGAAACTGGTCATCCACTTGCAGAAGTCTATACACTTTGGGCGTCCATTCAATTCACATCAATCCTTGCTAGGCTTGCCTTCTTGTGTTTGTTTGTCAGACGCTCCATCGATGAAAGATGTTTCATGCTGAACGTGATGGCAAAGATTGTGACAGTATTCTACTTTTGCCTGGTGGAGCTAAGTTCTTTGGGGAGTTTTTCCGAACTGAACACCGTACCGTTCATTGTGTACTCCCTTTCCTTCTTGGTGGTGCTTTTCTTCGCTGTCTTGGGCATCCGTGGCACATTGAAGTTGCTGGCCAATCCTAAAGAGTTATTGTTGTTAGCTTTTGAGCTCCCCAGATGCCCGCCCCATGAAGAAATCCTTAACTTGTCGACGTTCTTTCTTGATGTTTGCCAACCTGAGGCTACCTGGTGGCAGGCAATTGGCCCAATTCTTCTTGTCACGGCTGGTGGTCTCGGGCAACTGGAGGCTGAGTAGAACGGAGCTTGAAAGCTCCCCAGAGTGTTCGGAGGTCTTCTCCCAGTCCACGGGAGATGCGTCGGATTCTTCAGGATCCGACAGTTCCAGCTAAACGTGGTTGAAGCTCACAGACCAAAAAAGGATCGACACTTAGGCGTCAACTGAGGCTGTGCACCGTTTTGTGGAAAAGTCCTACTTTAGGGCCAGACCTGCAGTCATCATTTGTATGCAGTGGTTTCAGATTAGATGGCGCAGACCCGCAGATGTCTTTTAGATGGGGGTCCATATAAACCTCCTTAATTTTGGGCATTGCACCATCTACTCTCAATCCATCTCAATCCACTGTACACTGTAAACCACCACTTGGCGCCTATGAATGACTCTGAAGGTTCAGCAACATTCAGCAGCAAAGCTTCCATCCACTCCGGAGGTGAATCCTCTTTCTCTAGGATTCTTCTACTAAGCATAATATGTTAGACCACAAAACCATGAAGAACACACATGACAGGTCTTGGAGGCTAGGGCTGGACATCATTCGATCCCTCGTTCGTTTTCCTCGCTCGGCACGCGGAAGCGGTGCACTCACGTCTACACTCGCGCCGATGTGGCGGAGAGCCATGAAGGTCCCATTTGGGTTAAGGCTAACACATGGGTTTTCAGAGGACCAATGGCAGCCAGATGGCACAATCCCAAGTTCGGTGATTCGAACCGGTGAACAAATGCAGAGAAGATTTAGGTGTGTGCCATCTATTCTGAAACCACTAAGCATGTACTGCACTGAAGGTGATATAAACAGATACAAACCCTCGAAGTATCCACGGACGAGGGGACTAAGCAAAGTCTGAACACACATGGGACGTTTGGTTTGCGGACGAGGTGGAGAATCAATGTCTCACCTCACCGCAGCTGCCGCAGCTGTTTGCTGAAAGCTCAGGTGGTTTTTT